GAATATGGTTATGTAGACATCGAACATGATCAACGAACATTGTCGTATTTACAAGGTTATTTTTATATATAAATATTCCGCCATATTAAAAATACTGAAATCTGCTAGGCGTTCTGAAGCACGTTTAGCGGTGACGTCACACCTAGGTCCCAGTCTTGTACCATATCCACGTTTTTTTCTCGCGCTTGCTTCAGCACGACTGGGACTAGGCTGAGGTGTATATAAAGGACGCCATGCAGAGGGAGAGCAAAAAGAGCTATTTGTCCTATAGGCCTGCATGGATCCAGCCCATGCATCAGCCCCCATAAATTATGCTTAGAAATTACTGTGAAATAGTGCTGTAGAATGCAGGGATTAACCATTCCTCAATTATTAGAGGATGTTATTCCAACTTTCAAGACTTGAAAGACAATGTCAAATGTTATGGTTAAAGGACATTGGCAATAACATTTTATTGCTTTATCTGAAAGAGCATGAAAAAAATAAGCCGATTGGCTGTTTACTGCTCTATTCTATCTCATCTGGTTCCGAAGTTATACGCAAAAATATGCAAAATATAAATTGCTGATTCAGCACAACGTGTGACGTCATTGGTTGGGTACGTATGTTTATTGAATAGTAAACTGAAGCATAGCTCAGTTATTATTGGCTCAAATCAAATGAAATTTTGCATGCGGATAGTACATGATGAGACGCATGGGAAAATACTTCTAATTTAGTTGTCAAGGCAACACAGTCGTTCCCAGGCCCCTTACACTGATTTTGAATAACTAGTTGCATTTATCTATGTGTATGTCATTTTCGAATTATTATCATGCAAGTAAACTTTTGGCAAGCATAGGTATGGTACACATACTGCTGATATTACTTTATTCTTATAAGTACCATGAATAAAGCTGTTTTATAAAATTGGCGCAAGGGGCCTGGGAACGACATTGTTACATTGGCAACAAAATTGGAAATGTTTTTCAATGCGCCTCATCATGTACAATCAGTATGCAAAACTTCATTTGATTTGGGTCCATAATAACTGAGCTATGCTTCAGTTTAGTATTCATTAAACATACTTACCCAACCAATGACGTCACACGTTGTGCTGAATCAGCAACTTATATTTTGCACATTTTTGCGTATCACTTCGGAACTAGATGAGATAGAATAGAGCATTAAATGGCCAATCGGCTTATTTTCCCATGCTCTTTCAGATGAAGCAATACAATATTTTGTTGCCAATACCCTTTAATGGAATAATAAGCTATCATTGGATGAGGCTGAGCATGATATCAAGAATTATTCAGACCGAGGTCAATGTTATCTGCCGAAGCGAAGCTGAGGCGGATAACATAGACCGAGGTCTGAATAATTCTTGATATCATGCGAAAACCGAATCCAATAATTGTTTTATTATACATTTAAAGACATGAGAAACGTATAAAACGATTCCTGTTCATCAGGTAGGAAAAGTACAATTTGAATATCAAACACATTGCACAAAGTCAAAGGTCAGTTAAATATTCTATTTCTACTTCTATTTACCCCTTTGTGGCCTTTTTCGTGCTTTCACTATTAGGCCATTGTTTGTTTGGGTTTTTTTTCGCGCGCTTATAGGTTCAAGCCTTTGGCCGCGCAAGGGTTTGGGCACGAGAGAGTCTAATATTTTTTTTTTTGGATGCAAGTTCGATCCAAAAAAACAATTATTGGACGCTGATGACGTCATCGGCGGAAAATACGTAACAAATGCCGAATACTGAATATTAGCCGGTGCTTTCTGACCAATTAGAAACGAGAATACATATTAAATGTATAATAATGCAGCTTAATGTTCTCCTAAAAGTTAAAGAATATGAAAATTAGTTCTCTAAAGGTACGTATTAATATATGTCGATTTTTGTCTATAGAAAATCACTATAGGGCCCCAAAGATATAATTTGACCTAGGCATGAACTCGGCATGCATGGACAGTCGTGCGTGAGTTTGTTTGTCTCTTCTTCAAAGCACGCCGTTTCCTGAAAAAAACCGTAAGGACGCGGCGAGCAATTTTTTCTTCAATTAATATTTTATTTTCACATTGACTGTTTGCGACCAGAACCAAGACGAGCTTCTGACCATGTTAATCTGGCTGATATAATAAACATGCAGTAATATACATATATATGTAATTATATAGGCAAAACGTGATTACATATGAGGAAAATAGCTCTCACATTTGGCGTTAAACATGAGCCCAGAGATATTGTCTGTATATTTGAATGTTAGGGTTTGTAATCCAAGTGAGAATATATACATTTTAAGACCTAACCATGCAGGAACGACTGCGAAAAATGCAGCACACGGTCCTCTGGTAGGAATTGAACCTACGGCCCTGCGATTCCGGTGTAGCGCTCTAACCAACTGAGCTACAGAGGCCAGCTGTTGAGCTGTAACCGTAAGTTCATGTATATATAGGTATTCGGATGTGCGGGTTGTGATAAGGTGGACTTCAATGATATGGATTCTTGCACTTCACTTGGTGGAATTAATATTAGAATGTTAGGGTTTGTAATCCAAGTGAGAATATATACATTTTAAGACCTAACCAGGAACGACTGTGAAAAATGCAGCACAAGGTCCTCTGGTAGGAATTGAACCTACGGTCCTGCGATTTCGGTGCAGCGCTCTAACCAACTGAACTACAGAGGCCAGCTGTTGAGCTGTAACCGTAAGTTCATGTATATATAGGTATTCGGGTGTGCGGGTTGTGATAAGGTGGACTTCAATGATATGGATTCTTGCACTTCACTTGGTGGAATTAATATTAGAATGTTAGGGCTTGTAATGAACTTACGGTTACAGCTCAATGAACTTACGGTTACAGCTGAACAGCTGGCCTCTGTAGCTCATTTGGTTAGAGCGCTGCACCGGAATCGCAGGGCCGTAGGTTCAATTCCTGCCAGAGGACTTTGTGCTGCATTTTTCGCAGTCGTTCCTGGTTAGGTCTTAAAATGTATATATTCTCACTTGGATTACAAACCCTAACATTCTAATATTAATTCCACCAAGTGAAGTGCAGAATCCCAATCATTGAAGTCCACCTTATCACAACCCGCACACCCGATACCTATATATACATGAACTTACGGTTACAGCTGAACAGCTGGCCTCAGTTGTTTAGAGCGCTGCACCGAAATCGCAGGGCCATAGGTTCAATTCCTAGCATGGGACCTTGTGCTGCATTTTTTGCAGTCGTTCCTGGTTAGGTCTTAAAATGTATATATTCTCACTTGGATTACAAACCCTAAACATTCTAATATTAATTCCACCAAGTGAAGTGCACGAATCCATATCATTGTCTGTATATTTTACTACAGCGAAACACCCAATTGCAATTTGATGGTCAAAATTCAAACAATCCTGCATGCACGAAAAATTCAAATGCCTTCACGCGTGCATTTCGTGTCGGATAATGAAATATTTTAACGTGTGAAGTTTACTGAGTTTAGTATAAATTTTGCATATCAAATGAGCTTTCGCGCGTTCTGATTGGCGAGTTGACTGGTAAATCCGTAAATCTGACACATTATTTGCCAGCGGACTAGTAAATAATGCTTTTCAAAAAGAACGATTCGGAAAATTTGGTTTCAAAATCGATGAAATATTGGAAACAATTGTTCCCAGAAAACGAAAGAAGTACAAAATGTTGTATTTAACTTGAAAGGTAGGATTCCTTTAATATTTTACTGTGTCAAACATATTTAAAGCTGGATTTCAAGTGCTTCTACTAAAGGTATAAACTATTTATTTTTGCTGATGCATGCTATGTATACCTAAGCATATTTCCTTCAACGATAAGTATTGATTAGTGATACATTTTAGTGAAAATTAAGAATATTTTTGAGCTAATCGTTAACATTATTATTTTGAGGTCGAAGGGGGATTTAAATTTAAATTTAAATTTAAATCGCACAGTGTGTCTGGGCTACCTATGGGAAAACGTGAAGGATTAGGCCAAATAAAAAAAAATACTTGGTTAGCGTCACACTCTCACAATTTTAAATTTTTACTCGTTTTTTAATTTTTTAGTAGTATTTTTTGGGGGGATGGGGCCGGTTTTTCCACCATATCGGTGATTTTTTTTTGTATTGATGTTGCGAAGGCCGCTATTTTGCTATAAGAACCTTGTATACCCAAGACCATGCACGCGCTCCTATCGATCAGTATATAGCGCGAATTCTGAGCATGAGAAAAATTTCAAATATTAAACTGTTTTAAGCTGTAAAACGAAGAGATTTACATAAAAAAATCAGAAAAAATTCAGAGACGGCAGAAATCGAGAGACGGGCGGTGACGCTAACCAAGTTTTTTTTATTTGGCAGCTTATTTTGAGCGGCTTGTCTATCAAAGGCCATAAATCGCAAGAATAGAAATCAATTTTGAAATCAATTTTCCATTCCTATAAATACAAGTTTTCACGCTGATTCGAACAGTAGTATTTTTGTCATTGTTTGAAGCATAAAACCAGAGATAAAGCCTAACAAGTAGTCGATCTTGAGAGCACACGATTAATAACAATTAATAAATTCCAAGCGTGCAAGGAATTTTTAGTAGGCGATTAAGGAAACGTATTGATGCGAACACACGGACAAACAAACTCACAAGCAGAATATAATGCGATGCCAAAAATGGCACGGGCACCGCAATTTTAAATTGTTTGTGAATATGTATACCAAAGTTGTCCTCGATATACAAATCCTCACATTAAATATTTATTATATACGCAAACAATACGTAAAATACTAATTCACTTGTCTCAAAACCCTGTCCATTTTGTCTCTCTAAATCTTGTCAATTGTCTCTCCGTCTCTCGTACAATAACAAACTAATTTTACCATATATATATGGTAATGTTGCGAATATCTCTAAATATAGCTATTACTGTTCAGAGTTCATCACACACTCCCCTAACAAATTAAAACGAATTATAAATTTTTAACAACATTCTACAGAGTTACATTTACTTCCCTTTAATCGTCTTTCAACTGTTCTTTGAAGTTAACTTTCGCGATCTTTGCTGCTTTCCGTTCTGGTCTTTCCTTTAATTTATCATTATCTTTAGTACTTTCGTTGTGTCTTCCCTGATCTTCCTTAAGCACGCTCCTTATCTCCAAAAAACATACTAAAGGACATACTAGGTCGTTCCAAATAGTTACCCTTATGTAACACAATAACTGGCTCTAATTACACCGTCCTTTCCTTTCACGTAGTTGACAACTTTGCCTTTCATCCACCGTCCTCGGTTCTTTTTGTCTCCAACGATCAATACAATTTCCCGAATCTCTGGTACAGGAGATGTGCTTTTATTCACACGATGATACTCCCATTAATCCATGGATATATTCCCGTTGCCATCTCGACCATGCGTGTTGTCTTGCCATAGTAAGACGTTTGTATAGACTACCAACTTCGTTTCGATCTTCTTCCTCGCTTAAATCTCCCAATGCATACGAATTCTGTCCCCAGAGCATAGTGTTGGGTGTTAGGATTTGTTCCTCTTCTTGACTGCTTTCTACGTTGGACTCCCACTTGTGTAGTGGTAGTTTGGCACCTTCTAAGATTGCTGTAGTCTCGACTTTGAACTTTTCTAAATCTGATACATCACTTCCAATTATATTGTCCTCGTCAGTCCCATTCTTCACCAACTTTGCTTTCTTGCTTTTCTTCGACTTTTCTTTCATTCTATTTTCGTCTGTAATTTTTCTCTTCTTTTTCTTACGTTCAATTGTCTTTTCAACACTACTAGTTTCTTTAGTGTTTCCTTGTGAAACAACATTACTCTTAACTTTCCCTTTCGTTTTTATGCCATTTTCCTCAAGGTTTTCTACTTCGTTTCCTTTCAATTTCTTTCCACTTTCCTGCGCTCCACTTTCATCCATCAATTCAAACGTTTCATTTTGGTCAGAATTGTCGTAGGCATTTTCGTCTTCATCACCTTGTCCTTCCTTCGTTTCTTCCGCAGTTACTGCCTTCAGTTTTCTCAACCGTTCTGGTTTATTTTCATGTCCCTCAATTTCCTCATTCATGTCTTCTCTTTCTTTTCCATCGTTCAAAACACATGGATTTTCCGAACTATCACCGACCAGTCCAAAATTTCTAAAATTCTTGGGAATCTCCGCGCTATCTTTGGCTTTATTTGCCTCCTCTCTGACGACAGGTTTGTGTGGTATATGATATACTTGTTCACCATTCGGTTTCTGTGGTGCGCCTTCAATGATACCCGACTCTAATTGATTCTCGATTATTTCATCATAATTGTTCTTTAACTTCTCATCTCGCTCGATCTTTTTGCATACATTAACTAATCGCTTTCGACTTTGTTCTAGATTGCTATTTGGTAAAGACTGTCCTGGAATCGATGGTACTTTGACTTGATATCTACCGTCATCAGCCCGAGTAATGTTCTCGTTATTAAACTCATGATAAACGTCCAGTTGGTCGTTCTCCCCTCTATCTTCAACTCCGTCTGCATTCGGTGTATACAATTGCTCGTAGTCATTTGGTTCTCTTGTAAACATACATACATTGTTCGAAATATCTCCGCCATGAACAATCCAACCAAACGAAGTACCTTCAACGATAGGATAGCCATCTTTCCCTTTGTAGATTTCTCCTGTCTTAATCTTGCAGAAGGTGTTGTCACCTAAGATCATGTGTATTGGGTATTCACCATCTGTTCTCATGTAAAACCTCTTATCTTTTGTGTGTTCATAATTCCATTTAAGTTTGTTCATGTCCGGTCTTTTCACTGTTGTGAAATCTTTCATTGTCGACCCGGCTAGCTCTATATCTTCTTTGGTTGATCCATCTAATGATTCGATTGTTACATTGTAAATAGGCATGGACTGTCTTTTTGTTCCATTAATGGTGATGGTTTCTTTCGATTCGTGCTGCAGAAACTTGAAGTTTCTTTACTGCTTCCTTTGAAATAAAATTCCTGCCCGATCCTGTGTCCAAAAATGCCCAGAAAACTTCTCCGTCCACCTTAACTGGGATTATGGGGGGTAATGTCATCTCGTCTGTTGCTGTTGAGTAGCCCGTTAGTACTGTACCATCACCGTTGTTCTCTTTCTGATCATGTAAACTGGTATGATGTCTCTCCCCACAGTGATAGCACCCACGACTCCGACAATGTCTAGCTCTATGTTCCAGGCTACCGCAATTGAAGCATAAATTGTTCTCACCGAAGTAAGCCTTTCTTTGAGCAGTGGTTACATACGACTTGCACATATCACTCCAGTGTTCAGCTTTACAGAACATACAACAAGGTGTCTTTTTTCCTCTTGCCTCTCTTTGCCTCCTTTACATGCAAGCAAGTTTTTTTCTCTTCTTCTTGGGTCACCTGTGGATTTATCTCCTTCAGTTTTGTTTCTTCGTAACCATTTTTGTAGACTATCAACTAAGTTCTCCATTTTCCATTACTCCCAATCTTCACCAGTCCTTACCAAGTCTGACTTCACATTTGGCAACTTATTAATAGTACACATCACAAATCCATCTAGATCTAATTTCTCCTGTTCACCGAGAGTCTGTAGGGCGTCATAGTTCTTCCTCAAACTTTAAATATTGATGACTCACAGCGGCATTATACAAGTCGAAAGAAGCTGGATTTTAAGTTGGATTATTCTTCAAATAATGCCTGGGCATTAATACCAATGCCAATGAAAGGTCTTTATAAGATTTATAATGTTTACTGCAATATATGATATAATTTAGTCTAGTGCATATATCGTCCTAGATATTCAAGTTGTACCGCACGCACCGAGGAATCTTGGCGTGTGATAACAGTATACTGTAGCTGTACTTCGACATATATCATTCTTGATCGTTGAGCTGTTTCAGCAATGTAAATAAAAGGAATAACGGGTTTTAATCCTGTGCTTACTGTAATCCACAGTCAAAACAGCACTATTGTTTTTATATACACAGTTGGCGATGTTCAGTACTTCAGTTGAGAAATCAAAGGATCCCGTTATAAAATAAATCCTTTGTTTTGAATATCGGACAGGATACATTTCAACTATAAACAACCATATCATATCGTTCGTTTTATATAAATACCGTTTGATCGATCAGTCGGCGTAGAAGATATCAGATATGTATGTTTATACGGCGATCTGATGCGTGCTCACTAGCCAGGCGCGTGTGGAGTATATTTTTCCTTGCAAGTGAAATATGATCCAGCTTCTCGCTTGAAATGTACCGCAGCACTTATTATTGATGACATTCAATATAGCAGGAAATCTTGTCATGATGAGTACGAATTTAGAACAGTATAAATCATGTTTATTAATACATGTAAAGTGAAGTATACAACACTAATGCATCTGGCGAATGTCAACTACTACATTCCCACCCCTCCCAGATTGACAAAACAACACTAATTAAAAATCTGCTAGATTTTAGCAGATCACGTGACCAGCGTCCACCAGGGTCTTTGCTTCCCAAGAGCAAATACCCTGGGAACGAGGTTGTCAGGTGGTAAATAATGCGTCAGATTTCATACTAGTCAACTAGCCAATCAGAACGCGCGAAAGCTCATTTGATATGCAAAATTTATACTAAAAGGCGATATTTACTACGACCGCTCTTAAAAGTTAAATAAAGTTAACGTTTTAATAAAGTTAACCGTTGTTTCACTGTAGCTAGTTTATTGTTTCATTGAAATTAATTACCAATTGGTTTTTCGTGCAGGGGCCGGTTGTATCAAAGGCGTTTAACTCGACAATGAGGATGAAAAAGCATGGGATGGGAGAGCACAATCATCTAGAGGAGTTATCTTTTTTAAATCATGAACATGAAAAATGAACATGAAAAACTCACTTTTAACTGGCTTGTGATACAATGGATCAGTAATACAACAAGTGTTGTGGGAGGTTTTTCCTTTTTTTCAATTTTTATCTTTTTTAAATCATGAACATGAAAAATGAACATGAAAAACTCACTTTTAACTGGCTTGTGATACAATGGATCAGTAATACAACAAGTGTTGTGGGAGGTTTTTCCTTTTTTTCAATTTTTCGTTTGGGACTATTCTACAATGAATTACTCTTGGATACTGTAATCTAAATACATATAGGAAGACGAAGAAGTGGCATTTATCGGGCAGAGAAGCGGCGAGCCATTGCAATAGACCCTTTTCATAAATGGCTACCAATTAAATATTCTTTTATGTGCATAATAATTCTTTTATGTGCATATAATTGGCCCAACTAGCCTCGTACTCATGTTAATTTCAAAGGAATTTCTACCCAGAAAAGAGGCTAGTTGGGCCAACTTATATGCTGTCGGAAACTTCATTTTACATTCATATAAGGTAACCGGAAATCACGTGATATGGCGTGACCCCACATGGCGTGACATGTAGAGAGAAAAAACTTGCGATCGTTGTGATTTATATATCTGTATTTCTGTGAAACTTGTGATTAAAATACAACTAAAAAGTTACTTTAAACAGTCGATTTCGATCGTTTTCAACACTTGGCGACCCCGGCAGGATATAACGTGATTTTAGCTCGAACAAGAGCAAGAACCAAGGAGAAATTGACGGGTTTTAAAGTATCGTATTACAATAACAACATTGTGCGAATATTAATATGGAAACTGCGAAGCAAAATCTTGCGACGAAACTTACGCAGCTACAAATAACTAGAGATAAAACTAAAGACATTGGATCAAGTGGGATAAAAAGTCGTATCGAGCGACAAAAGAATACATTGCAAACGTTGGGAAATGCGGCTGAAAAAGCGAGAACAACACTCGAAGAAATCAAGATCGCCCGGGGGGGAGAAAGTCGAGGATATTACAACATGGAGTAAAGACGTGGAGAGCCAGATTGCAGTTGTCGATGAGGACATTGTTTATTTGCCAAATTGTTTAGATGAAGTTGAGCAAGCAGAAATTGACAAGGGTCGGAAGCAACAAATCGAGTTTGAACGAGAACTTCACTTCAAAGAGATGGAATTGAAGAAGTCAACCCCCCTGGAAAACCCAAGTACTGAGAAAGCCTTAACAGCGAAGCTTCCAAAACTCAGTATTACTAAATTCAATGGTGAATACATTGATTGGAACAGATTTTGGAACCAATTCACTGAAGAGATCGACAAATCAGGTATGGCACCCATAACTAAATTCTCTTATTTAAAAGAATTTGTTGAACTGAAAGTGCGAAAGAGTATTGACGGGTTACCATTCACAGTCGAAGGCTATAATAGGGCAAAAAGTATTCTCGAAGAACGATATGGCAAAGAGAGTGAAATAGTGAAAGCTTATGTGAAAGATATTATTGATTTACCAACTGTCAGGGGGCTGACCTGATACAAGTCCACCAGTTTTACGAACGGTTAGTGTGTGATGTGCAATCCCTGGAGACCATGGCTAAACTAGAAAGGGTGAATGGAAATGTACCACTTACTCTGGACAAATTGTCTGGTATTCGGAGTGATCTTGTCAGCCAATGATGACGAGTGGCAAGAGTGGGATTTCGTAAAGCTCTGCGAAGCACTACGTTTTTGGACACATAGAAATCCCATAGAGAAAGAAGACAAGTATCGAAAGCGTAACACCAAAGTCAACAATACACAACACCATGAGGTGAGGGTGTGTGTTTACTGTGGCAAGCCTTCACACACGGGAATTCAATGTCAGCAGTTTGCATCACCTAGGCAAGAGAAAGGAAGAAGATTTTAGCAGAGAAAAAACTCTGTTTTAACTGTACAGGCACAAGACATAGGGCAGCTGACTGCAAGAGTACTACTGGTTGTCAATTATGCTCCAAGGGTCATCATACTTCTATTTGTGAAACAAAGAAACCAAACAGAGCAAATATGATGTCAACATGTGATGGCTACAAGGTTATTCACCCTATTGTTGTGATAAAAGTTGACTGTGTTGAGTGTCGTGCCTTGGTTGATTCTGGTGCTGCAAGTTGTTATGCCTCGTCAAAGTTGCTTGATTCATTAGGGAAGAAACCAACAGAAGTGAAATACAAGAAAATGGAAATGCTGATGGCTTTTACTACAACGAGAATGGAGATACACAATTCAACTATCTCTTCTAAATCCGGTGATTATGAGTTAGAAGTGGATCTAATCAAAGTTAATAAGGGAACACTACTCGAAGTAGAGAACCTGCAGTACAAGGAACTAATTGAGTCCTATTCTCATTTGAAAGGTGTGAAAATAGACGACTATGACACTAAACCCTATCTCCCAGTGCATGTAATATTAGGAGCCGGAGTTTTCACAAAGATCAAAACGGATTCCAGACCTCGTATCAGAAAACAAGGTCACCCTGTTGCAGAACATACAAAACTTGGGTGGTTTATTCTATCACCAGGCGAAGAATCGGTGACTACTCGGGTGCTTTTGATGCAAACCAACCATGTTGAATATGATGAGTTATGCCAACTTGATGTTTAGGGGCTAGCTGATTTGCCACAACAAGACCAGAAGGAAGTGTATGCTGAGTTCCGAGAGCAACTGACCCGTAACGAGGCAGGTTGGTATGAAACAGGACTGCCCTGGTGGGGTAACCACCCTCCCTTACCAACTAATGAACAGGGTAGTTTGGGTCGGTTGCAAAACCTGAAGCATAAGTTGCAGAAATTCTGGGCTGGATGAAGCGTATGCTGTGAAGATCGAAGAGCGTGGCGCGGTAGAACCAGCAAATGATCGAGTGAAGGGAGTGGAATTCTACATACCGCATAAGCCTGTTGTGAAAGAGAATGCCGAGATAACCAAGCTCCGCATAGTGTACGATGCCAGTGCGAAAGCCCATGCAGATGCTGTCTCACTTAATGACTGTCTGAGTCCTGGTCCTGTGCTGCAAAACAACATGTGGAACGTTCTGGTCATATCGAGAGCCCATCCTTTAGCAGTCAATGGAGACCTAAAGAAAGCATTCTTGCAAGTGCGTGTGAAAGAGGAAGATCGCGACGTCTTGAGGTTCCACTGGCAACCCGGAGAACATTCAGAACTTGAGACTTTACGGTTTACACGGGTTATGTTTGGGCTGACTTCATCACCCTTCTTGTTGGACAGACAGTTTAGTTGTTCTTCACTGGATCATAGGTGGAGGGCAGTACAAACAGTTTGTTGAGAATCGTGTCCGAAAGATTCAAGCAAAACCAGAGATCAAATGAAGACATATCCCCACGGAAGAAAACCCAGCAGATCTGGCAAGCAGGGGTGGTGATGTTCAACACAAGGAGCTGTGGTGGAATGGTCCTGAATGGATGGCCAACCCCGAGAATTGGCCACAAGATATTGTAAGTCAGTCATCTGTGGAGAGCCAAGCAGAAGCAAGAGTAACCAGATAAATTTTTGCAGGAGTCACAGAAACCAACCCTGACCAGCTAGACCTTATCCTTGAGAATTACGAACTGACTAAAGCAATAAGAATCCTGGCATGGATAGCGACAATTCATTTACAACTGCCAACATCCCAACGACGTCATCCGAGGTCCACTAACAACCGATGAACTAATGTCCCAGCATAGTTTTTGGATCAAACAAGTGCAACAAAGTGGCGACAACCAGGAAGATTGTTTACGACTTAACCTTCAACCAAATGAACAGGGGATTCTTCAGTGTCAAGGCCGAGTTCAAGGTGAGTACCCAATCTATCTCCCAGATTCTCATCCATACATGAAGAAGTTGGTGCAACGAGAGCATTTGCGCCCTCTTCATGGGGGAGTCATTTTATCACGATGACGAGCGTGATAAAGGATCACTGGGTTCCACGTTTACTGAGACTTGTCAAGAGAACTGTGAAAGAGTGCCACAGATGTCGAAGGTTCCAAGCCTGAGCTGTGGCGGACCCCCCTCCTGGCAACTTGCCCGAAGATCGGACACGAGGAACACACCCATTCCAAGTTATTGGCATAGACTACGCTGGGCCCATCTGTTATAACAAAAGAGCAAAAGTCGAAGGGAAAGCCTATATAGCTGTATACACCTGTTGTAATTGTCTGGCAGTTCAATTTGAGCCGCGCACCTTGGTGGGGCAGTCAATTTGAGTGAATGGTTGGTCTTGTGAAGAAAGCTCTACACAAAACTATTGGAAACGGTCTTCTGTCCTGGAAGGAACTCGAGGAAGTGCTGCTCGACATGGAGGTGTGCTTGAATGGTAGACCACTGAGCTATGTGGAAGACGATCTGCAATTTCCTGTTCTTACACCGAGTACTCTATGTTCCATCACACCAATGCCATACCAGAAGCACAGCCACATCATTGCGAATAGATTGACCTAAGGAAGAGAGCCAAGTACCTACGGAAATGCAAAAACGCGATGTGGAAGCGATGGTCGAAGGAATATTTACGTGGATTATGAGAAAGACATAACCTTACCCATAAAGTCAAGCAGTCCAAGTTATCGGTCGGAGATATAGTGATAATAAAGAGTGACGATAAGAATCGGGGAAAATGGCCCTTGGGTATTGTTACGGAACTGTTTCCAGGTCGAGACGGGGTTGTGCGGGCTGTTAAACTATGTGCAGGCAAAAGTTTTCTGGAGAGGCCAACACACATTCATTAACAAGTATAACGAACCAGAAAAGTGTTAAAAATTCAGTATAATATATATCTAATCATATTTTACAACTGTAGCACTGAGTTCAAAATGTAAACAAAGCGTTTGTTTACATTACGGACTTTACATCACCTTTAATAACTTCTAATAAGGGAAGTCTCCTCAATGGGACATAAACTATTTCACAATTTATGAGGGGAGAGTGTCGGAGACTTCATTTTACACTCATATAAGGTAACCAGAAATCATGTGATATGGTGTGACCCCACATGGCGTGACATGAAGAGAGAAAAAGCTTGTGATCGTTGTGATTTATATATCTGTATTTCAGTGAAACTTGTGCTTAAAATACAACTTAAAAGTTACTTGAAACAGTCGATTTCAATCGTTTTCAACAATTTTATTATTCTTTTTTCCAGGGTTTTCTTTGAATTTTCATAACTGTTGTTGGTGACTTAATATAACTACCATGATCACTATTTACAGAACACTTTCTTTTCTTTTTTGCAGTCTTTGGTCTTCCGGTGGTGGGGCACTTGTCTCTTTTTAGGAAGAGGTCTGGATGTAGTTGTCTTAACAAGGTGCGGAGGATAATCAAAAATAGATGGGACCGCATGGACTTGTTTCAAAT